TGACCTTTAATGACCTGATTCCAAAGGGTTCCTTGTTTCTTAGTTTGTGAATCTGGTATTCCCTTTTCCTTGAGGAGGAGGGTATTCCCTAACAACGAACTGATGATGTCACCTCGATTGGTGCTCAAAACGTTTGCAGTCAAATTGCCCAGCTCAGCGAACAAACCAACGACCATCTACACTAACTGAGCTATCAACATTTCCCTCTATATAAAAACGACTCTCAGTGTTCGAACCGAGAAGCCAGAAGGGCAGCAATGAAAAGGAGTAACTCATATGAGTATTGTCCTTCACGAGGTGAGGACGAAAACAAACAAACGAACGAAAACAAACCAGTTGGTTTGATCCGGTATAGAAGCTATCAGCTAATTGGTAGTTCAAAAGCTCTGTTCGGATTCCGTCCACATTCCAGTTGATCTTGAAGGTTTTGACTTCCCTGGGAAAAATGTTATAGTGTCTCCAGGGTAGTGATGGCAGCTTCCATAGAGGTAAAAGATCTTGAGGGGTGAGAGTGAGTGAAGAGCAGAGTTTTGCGGACATAACGCTGTGGTCAAGACAAAAAAGTGCTTAAAAGGCGATCTCTCGACAGAATAAGTTGTTCTTTCTTCTCATTTGGGAAGTTGGCCAATTCTCTCAAAAACTCTGTCCTGTTTGCCACAAACCCCCAATCACTGTTTGGCATTACTTTGTGACTTTTGTCCTCGGTTGCTTGATCGTAAAAAAGTGACATTTGTACAATAATTTGATTCTAACAGTAAACTCAACTGAATACAGCTGGATCTCTCGTTTATGCTGACCGGCTTTAGCAGAATGTGCTGCATCAGGCCGTCTTACGATTCATTTGGTATAATCTTTGCAGTATCACGGAAGAAACTACTCACAAGGTTGCTGATAAACTTTATGCGCCTTTCTTCGGGCTCAGCAGATTGGAGCAGTCCTCGAGTTTCCCATCCGCCAACTTGACGTTCTACTTGAACCCAACTTGTAGGAAATTCGCGAAATGCGCTCATTCGCTGATCAATCTGGCCGTAACGGCTGACTTAGCTGAAGTCCGTATTGTTCCGCATCAAGTAGAACTCGGAAACCGCACCTACCCCATGAGCTGCAATAAGGGTAAAACTGGTCACGGGCTGGTAGTTTTCAGCAACCTTATGAGTGATGCATTACTTCTAGGGGGAATGACATATATCGCCAAAATAGCCTGCCCATGTTGTTGGGCCTCAAGTCCGAACGATCCAACAGGTAAACATCTCACTAATTTGTAGACGTAATACACTACTCATAAGGTCGTTGAAAACTCGATCACGACTAGCTTCACCCTTTTTGGGGCTCATCAGGTAGGCGCAGTCCCCGAGTTTCTATCAATCTTATGTTTTGTGTGTGGGATAACCACACACAAAGGAACACAGACCACAACGCAACAAGGATCACAAACGGACCAATAGATTCACCAAACTTGTTACACTTTAAGTAGCCAATCACGTCAGAAGATAACAGATAGCCTTCGAATGCTATATAAGCGCACGCAGGCAAGGAAGAAGTACCCACTCAACTGTGCACTGATGATGTCTCCTCGTATGGTGATGAAACGTTTGCAAGGCAATTGCCAAGCTCGGCGAACAGATCAACAGCCACCTGATCAACAACCAACACGGAGGATACTTCGGGAGAGGGGCCAAGAGAAAAAGGAAAGAGACAAAACTGACTGCCGTCGACGGATGGTAACTTTATGATTATATTTCCACTTTGGTCCTTGTACGCAGATACGTGGTCCACCACGTGACCTGTTTTCTGAAGACTGATCGTTTGTTGCAGCCCTGCACACTTCAGATCAAACCATCGAGCAACCAACAAGGAGTGAGTATCCAGAGGTGTGTCTCGTCATTCCGACTGTATCATTGAACAAAACAGAACTGACTGATTATGTTAACCATCGAGCAGCCAACGAGGAGTGCGTATCCGCCTGTATTATTGAACGAAACAGAATTGACTGATTATGTTGCAGTGTGGACTGTGCGGCGTACGGTGACTCGAAGACGGTGTTTCCGGTATTGATTCTTTTGAAAAATAACTACCCCGAAATACCCCCTGCCTTGCATGTCAATATTTCACCCATCCTTGTTAGACATGTTATCCCTGTGTGACTAATAAACCGCTCACAACCTATCACTTATCATTGTATTCTCATCTTTTACATACCAAGATGTACTTCTTGGTGAGTCGAAGGTGTGTCCTCAAGCGAGTGGACATTCTTACTTGTGTGGCTGAATCCCGTCATCGGGTGTATAGTCCTTGTTGGTATGTATACATTCCATATTGGGTGGGTGACTGGTGGTGTCCGACTGACCTATTGAGTTCAGTCACCTCTGCATGTTTAAACTCCCGCCGCTCTTAGCTTTCCCATCACTTGAGCTAGCGCTACCAGCATGAAGATCCTTCGGAAAGTTCGCGGATCGTGATGGATGATGGTGCATCACCTGTTTCCCCTTCCCACCTTCCGTCAGTGTGATCTTCTGGCCACGTCTACTACACAATGATAGTGTTCAAGCTTGACATCCTCGTTTTGCCGCATTTGAATTTCGGCACTGATCGATAGTGGAGTTCTTGAATTCACTGAAAACTCAGGGTGGAATCTGCAGTGCTCTCCAGTGCACTCATTTTGCGAGAAAACGCATCTTCTTCTGCTTTTTCATGTGATTTTTCCATCAGCATGGGATTTATTGGCAAAACCCTATAAATAATACCTTAAACTATCCACTCTGGTCACTTTGCCAAGTCTGCTCTCGCTCGACTTCCCGTAGTGATCAAACGTAAGATGACTACTGATTGTCGGAGCTTGCCAGTGAACATCACCTACAGTCCACAACAGGAAAGGCGTACTCGAAGATCCTGAGACTTACCGTTAAAAACTAAGCCGTTCCTATGTTTCGTTTGTGCAAATTATTCCAGCTTCACTCTCCTTCTGGGTGGAGAGAGATGGAGCTCAACCTGCTCTGATGGGTTGAGCTTTTTTATCTTCCACATTTTTTTTCATACAGCCATTGGCTACCTAGACTTCGGCAGACTTGTGTCAGTTTCGAGAGTAGGATGTAAATAGGTGGTACTCATGCGTGGAATCACACTGCGCATACCGTATCACGTGAATTGGCGTCAAGTAATTATTCGATCGGGTTAACCGTCCTAGAACCCCTGAACGAGAGCTTCTACATCAGGAAGTGCTAACTCTGTGTTGTATCTTGCTGGACGGTAGTGCAACTCTGTGTCGGTCCCTTGGGTTCCTGCTCCGCCCACTATGGTATATCAAAAGGCGCGGTAGCTCTACACAGCCCATTATGGAGACAAAGGAAAATTATTACAACTATATTTATAGGGTAGTCACAGTGTTCCACAAGGTCACGCCAGAATCTCCGTGAGGGGGCGAGAAGCGTCAAGATGCTTGGCTCGGATTAGCTGGCATTCTGATCAATCAGGGCATGCCTTCGTTTGGCCCGTGTCCTGCACGTGACACATCCGTCCAAATGGTGTGGTGTTCGGTTATTAGGGACGGCTGGCTTCCGTACACTCTGAACTCTACAAGATACGCCACTCTCACGAAGAACCAAAAGTGCTTCCGGTGACCACTGTTCCGGACGGATACTGCTTCTGAATGGGACACAGAGAAACTTGCTTCAACCGACGGATCTCACCTCTGCCATAAAATCAGAAATGGCACAAGAAGTTCCTTCTCCTGTTGTGGAGCTAATATACCTGTTGATGGTGTAGCCAGCTACACGTCAGTTGCTCGTTGATACACCAGTCTCTGCTCTGATTAACCAGCCAACTGTTCTTTTTTGAAAAAAATTCCGTCAAATATCCCTTAGGTGGTTGAGCTCCACCAACCTCAGAACACTACTTGGAATCTAAATTATCCTCTCCTAATTGTCTGAGAACTAAAAGAGTCCAGAAAGCGTGAGAACGACCGTTTCCGATTATTGTCATGAGACAGCTGAGTCTCACCTTGGTACCCTCCAACTAAAGAAACCACGTGACCAGATTTGTGTTTGTTTTCTTATAACCAGCCGAGCTTAGTGAAACGGCACAACTCGCTTGGCTGTCTTATTGATAGGCGTCTAGCGAATACCGGCCCCGCCGGCTGACAAATATAGCGTTTCGGCGAGTTAACAGAAAACCGAATGGCGACAACCCTTCCATGAAAAACTTGGAATAGTTCTACTTTAACCAGTGTATTGATTACTTCTGTTAACTCCAGCTCGCTGTCCCAAATAGACCCAGTGGAAATGGATAGATGACAAAGGTGTGTGGCCTGTTTCGTACAGGCTGAACACACGTCTATTTATATCCCATACTTGGGTCCTTTCGGTGTGGATAACGTCCGAGGAATGAGCCATTCTCACAATGAGGTACGATCCCACTATTCCGTATCGCACGGTATTTGTGTAAAACGGCTGGCTGTAACAAAGCAAACATTCAACCCGACAACCCGATCCAGTGTGCTTCTTGAGGAACACGACTTTGAGGAACACCTCACATGAATGCATGAATACCGTTCACGTCAAACTGCACCGTTGGAACCTCGTGAACAATAACACATGCCTAAGAACATGATAAACGAGAGATTCAGCTGGGTTCCAGGTGAGTCTCTCGAAAGAACCAAATTAGTTTGCAGATGAGTGTATATTCGCTAATAGCACATGCTGTTTACGCTGAGTCGCATATGCAACCGCCTGAACTCTTCGTATCCAATGTAGGGCCTAAGGAACAAGACCTGAGAGCGACGCACAGAAACGCGTACAGACAGTCCTTACGCGCGGAGGTGAGAGATGCTGACTGCCAGTCAGTCTACTGCGATTTTCTGCTGGATGGATATAAGCTCTACTACTTAAAAGGATAAGTATGGTGTTCAGCGAAATGCACTCATTTGAAAAACAACTTTAGTTTTGATAGGAGACTCACCTGGAGCCTAGATGAATCTCTCATTTGTGATGTTTCCAGGCAACTGAATGTGCTGCACCAAGCCGCCTCATGTCTCACTTGCTACGATATTCGAGATATCTCGATACATGTATATTCGTAATGAACTACTCATAAGGTTGCTGAGTAGTGCATTGGCAGTGCGTTACGAACGTATGGTATTTTTTCCTCGGCTACAAGGAGGAGCACGCTCCGAATAACTTCACTGATCACCTATTTTTTCTTCGCATTTCTGTAGATGGCCCGACCTCTCCAAGTCAAAACGGCTGATGTGGAAAGACGAACAGGTTCGTTGCTCGGTCGGTTGATGTCTGACCCTTTGTCCTCGTCGATCTGCACAGAACCCCGTTGTCATATGCCTTGCTATTTGTTGTTCCGGGTCTCTTCAATGTGGTCACAACTCATGTTGTCAAAATACATGTTGTTCGCCGTTCCAAATACTGGCTTGTCCTCCACCATTCGCGACACTGCCTGAAACATCGAAGCTTATAACCGGAGTGCTTGCTAGCGGTAGATAAACCATACGGCAACCGGGAAGCAAAACTGAGGGGGAACGCTGACTGACCTGTTTTCCAGGAACACAAGCGTAATATACAGATGGTTTTTTTACGTAACGCCAATAAAGCCAACCAGGGCAACCAGATATAAACCATCCGAGGAAAGATGAGTCAGTGGTTAGAGCGCGAATTTACTGACCGGAAGGTCCGTGTTTCGAACCCGACCTTTGCCTCTCGGCTCCCCCTGTCTAGAGAGCCTGGTAGTACTCGTGTTTCCTTCTGGTGGCATGGCAGTTAAGTACCAAAAGGGTACTTACTACACATGAACGATATATAAACCATCCCCCTTCAGTACTCGTCAGCAGTGGTCACAACCGGCGGAGCTGCGCGATGCCGACTAAATCGTGATACCATCCAGTCTGAGGTTTTCCTCAGAAAAGGCCTTTCATACTTATTCTCAAGAGATGGGTACGGCGCACTAATTCGTGGCTTTGGTCGTATCTACACAAGCACGGAAGCATAAATAGTGAGAACGCTGCTTGAACCCATTACTGTCCAGCAACGGGGCAATCTCTTCGAATCCGTACAGCCCCATACTCCAGTCCGGCACTTCGTCACATTCTGATATTGTTTCTTTTCATCCCAAAAAACTAAACGTGGAGTTAACTAACCAGAACTTCCTTATTTTTGAAGACAGAGCAAAAGTTCAATAAGTCAGTGTAGACTACACCGGTCCCTACCTTGGTCCGAACCGTACAGAATCATACAAGATATGGGAGACTTTGGACCGTCGGTCGGCTGCTGGATTCGTTTTTCATCACGCGAAAAGTTTGTTCCAACATGACCTCTGAATTCCACGGAAGCCACTGATATTCACAGTTTAAAGTAATATTTGATAGTTTTTTCCATGCAGAATACCCTCCCTTTGCTTTGAACTTTGCCATCGAACTTGTGTCGTCAGTCTGGTTTCCACCGACAGAGGAAGATCTCATCAATCACGCATAAGAAAAACCGACCGACGATTGGGGAGCTTTCTAGGGAGGCAGTACACATTCAACTCCGTTTGACTCTGTGTTCTTACATTTGACCACGATAAGCAAAACTGAAAAGCAAACTCCTCTGAGGCTCACTCTGTCGGCCCGTCCACTCAACCAGACAAGTCTGTCACGATCAACTTGAGTTTCATCGTGCCTTCATATTACGCGGTCCTCCAAACCATGCACGATGTTAATTTGAGCTCTTCAGTTTACCTGAGGTGGGGAAGCTTTTTCAAGCTGAGGGTGGCGTTACTTTCAAGAAATCTGTAAACCATTTCGATACGGGAACTACTCTTGTCATGTGTATACGATTTCCTGCAGAAAACACAAGTGCCTCATGGGATCTAACGAACCGGACAGGTACAATATTACTCACTTGGGCGTCACATCATGTGACCGTGGTGATTTTTACCCAATGTATTGGTAAACAGATGCGCTGAGGCCTAAATTGGACGTGTGTGTCTGATGAAATTGGCACTTGCACTGGCTACTAATTTAACGCAATCTAACTATAAAATAAGTGGACTAATCAAGCAGGTGACCTGGTGCTCCTGAAGGAACACTTTAATGTTGCGCAGTTTTGGGTGACCACTTGAGAAGGCAGTACAATACACACTTAAGGTTGGGAATCCGTCTAAACGGTCATCCCTCACCAGTCGTGTCATTTAATTCAAATTCTTCACCCATACCCGATTGGTCGAGTCCGTCGGTGGTATGAGTCATGCATACCTCTTTTACGAAACCAGTTTACGACTGCTAGTGACCTCACACCCAATTTGTTGCCAGAGTAAATCTCAGTCCGACAAACCACAATCGGTCTGCATGATAAAGCTGGGCAATAAGGTAGAATAGTGGTACCTCACTTTGTGATGATGGTAGTTGGTTTCTTCGCGGAGCTGGGCAATTCGGTTGCAAACACTTCACCACCAGTTGAAGTTGCATCATCAGTGTGCGCTGTGAGTGGTTGTTGAGCCTGCATATGGTTGTATAAGTTGCATCATCAGTGTGCGCTGTGAGTGACTGTTGAGCGTGGATATGTTTGTATAGGGCCCGGTCACTCAGGTCGACCTTGACCAATCATTGGTCGTTTGGATTAGCATTCCGATTGGCCTATTAATTGGTTCGTCTTTGGACTGATAGAGTGACCTCGAGACTTCATGTGCCTGGTCCCCAAGATGCGAATTTTGCTGATTTACCTCCACATGTAGTCCCGTTTCTTGATCCTCGACTGGTGGTGAATAGTTTGGAATCAAACTGCCCGGCTCAACGAACAAATCAATGCCCATCCGACTGGAGTTTACCACAATGAATACAGATAGCTGGACCTTTTCTCTGAAAAATATATATTTGCACCGGACGATTGTCAGATTTTCAAACCGGTTTAAACAAGGGACTACCCTAAGATTTCAAACAAACTAACAATCACCATAAGAAGGATTACAAACTGGCTTATTTCAGCGGCGCCAGTACTGTTTTATAGGTAGTGTTGTTCTCTGGGTTGCTAACAACAGTTGTAGCCAAAACTAATTCCCGATTTACGTCAAAATAGAGAAAAACAATCTTTAATGGCTTGTAGTTTGTAAGCAACTTGCGACAAATTTGTCCCACCGCACGTCAGGAGGTAACAACTACTCTTCAAGGGCTACATAAACGGGTACAGTTGGGAATGAAGTACCCAACCAGCCGCCAAGTGATGATGTCTGCTTGTCTGGTGACAAAACGGTGGTAAGCTAGTGCTTAGCTCAGCGAACAGACTGCCGGATAACCAGCCATTATGTCCGCTGTAAGCGAATGCTTGTTCCGGAAACAACAAGGCCACCCACGCTCTGCCGTAGCTTTTTGTGAACCCCACGACTTTTGGCGTGGGCGAACAACGATCACGCTTGCTTAGCCTACACGCATGACGCACGCTGGAGAATCGAAAGCAGGCAAAAATCAGGTTAGCTGTCCATACTATTAATAGAAGCCTGAAAAAAAAAAAAAAACCCTAACCCAACGTTGAGTTCGTAGCGGGCAAGAGAATGCTTCCAGCCTGTGGCTAATGCGAACAACTGAACAAATCTGAAACATTCTAACGTAGTCTAGTCCCCATTACCCGTCTGTCTAAATCACCCAATGCGTGGTTATACCCAAAAGTTTGTGGATATACCAATATGAATTTCCAGATTTTTGAATACCCCGCGTTCGTCACAACACCTCCGACATCCTGTGTTACTGACGTTATTAGTGCACTTCTGATGATGGCCATAATACAAATCAGAAGGTACATGCCCCAGTAACAGTCTGTACTGTGGTTGACAGTAGTTTACAGAAGCGATTTACAGCATGTATGGAATAAAGGCAATATAAAATGTGGAGCAAGTCAAAAGGGAACTTGTCGTATGTGAGAGTCCCTTGGTGAAAGTCCGGACGGTGGGAACGTGTTTTCTCCGCAGTTTGGCTGCTACACGTATTCCATGGTTGTCCGTGGACTTGGAGTGTTCGGCTGACTCCTTGCTCCCTGCGCGCGTGCGAGTCTGTGTGTGCTCAGTGTGTTCGGTTTCCCTATATGTAGGTCTCAGTGCGTGTACGTGGGCGTGTCAGCACATGAGTAGTTGATACGCTCGCTAGACGGTGAGACAATCTATGTCCGATGAGTTTCTTAAATGTGACGTGATTTGTGAGTATAAAAAAGACAAGCCTCGTATTCCAGTGAGCGACTGTAAGCTGAGCAGTCAAGTATGTGGGTGACCGGGTAGCTACAACGTCACTTTACGATATTTGCGACACCTTTACTTTTGAGCACCAAAATCTGGTCGATGTGTCTAAAATTTCAAACTTAATGGTCTTTTTGAGTTCAAAACTGCCTCAACAAAGAAAAAGAGGGATTTCCCCAAGTCAATCATAAATATTTCCACAACGGTAATCTACTCAATTGTTTTAAGTAGGCAGATTGCAAGGCATCAGCATATGGGCACTGCACAGTGACTATACCGCCAAGTTTATTCAGCTTGTGGGAATAGAGTGCCCACAGTTTTGTCCGGCTGAGTTGAAAGGCTTGCTACAACTTCAGATTAAACGGTTCTGACCTTGTTCGAGCTCGTTGTGATTAACAAAGTTGTATTCACAGCTTTTTAATAAGTGACGCCATGGAACACTTGAATCAAACAACTGAATGAACAGTGCTGACAAAAACCACAATAGCTCATTCGGAGTGAAGAAAAACCTATTTATTTTTCCGCTTCACGCCCTAAATTAGTTCTTAGTTTCAACCCTGTCACCAATAATACATGTTTGCGAATGCCATATCTACTATTTGTGACTCTCATGAGTGCGTACCAGAGTTGCATAGATAAAAGTTCAGCATCACTAAATTAAAAGGGGTCACCGTTACCTATTATCAGAACTGGAAATTGCAGGCATAATCTCATGACACGCCCATTAGCACGCTTTCTAAACCGTTGCGTGACGTGCCGGCAAACAAACCACACATCAACCCGTGGTCAATTGTACAAATCTATCAAAGGATTCAATTTCGTCTCAATCAATGAATAATGGAAGGCTGTTATCTGGTGAGCTCTTTCTATGCTTACGCTCTATTTTTCGCTGTCCATCTTGCTAGCCACAATTAGTGGCCAATTTCATCCTTGCTTGCTAGAATGGACGCGTGACTGATGGCACTGGACCAAATAAACATACTAACTAATCAGGAGTACTGTCCACCTGTCTTTTCGACATTTATGGACTTCACCAGCAATCTATTATGGGAAGTTA